TCATGAAGTCGTGTTATTTGATTTATGTCTAGATAAAACTTGAGACCACTGCCGGCCATCATCTTGTTGTCGATTTTTGGACGACTTTTTGTCATCTGTCCCCTACAGGATGAGATGGGCAAATGTTTCTAATTATACCTTTATCTCGAGTGCTTTGTTTAGACCACGCTCAAATTTCAATATATCCTTTCATCATTATTTGAGCCAACATGTCATGTGGTCTGGTAAGGGCTCTTGTACAGCCCGAGACACGTGTTTCGTCCTTACAGACTCATCAGCCAAGCAGAACCCGTCGTCTGTCGATCTTTTCATAGCCAACAAGAGCCCTTACCAGACCACATGACATGTTGGCTCAAATAATGATGAAAGGATATATTGAAATTTGAGCGTGGTCTAAACAAAGCACTCGAGATAAAGGTATAATTATGACAAAAGTACCAGCCAATGAGCAATCGAGTGCGAAAACACTCTGTGTTAGGTGAATGTTTCACCTGACAAAGAGCGTAAAGCGTAGGTCGTCGATAACTATATATAAGGAGTGTGATGCTCCCGTGTGAACTGACTATGAAAAGATCGACAGACGACGGGTTCTGCCCGGCTGATGAGTCTGTAAGGATGAAACACGTGTCTCGGGCTGTACAAGAGCCCTTACCAGACCACATGACATGTTGGCTCAAATAATGATGAAAGGATGTTTCTAATCATTTAATGTAGAACTATTAAACATCAATCAGTGATCACTTACGGAGACCGACTATTGATTAGCCTGGGCATTCATTGATTAATCCGTGGTTTTCTTTTCTTCGGCAAAACGAGGTTTTCAAAGCGAGTATATTTTGTACAAAGTAGCGAAACAGGCAAAGACACACCTCGTCTATGTAATACTCAGTGCGGCTGATCTGTACATTGTGTGGATATCAACAACAGCAAAACGGCTCTGAGGAAGGCAAGACTGCCAAAACTTTTGCCACGAATACGATCTCTATTGTACTACTTTGTACAGAATAAACTTGTATCAAAATCTCGTGTCTGCTGAAGAAAGAAAACCACGGAATCACTGATCAGTTGAAAAATTCAAATCACCTAAAGACACTGGAATCAAACCAGCCATATTTTGAGCATTCAAATCAACTAACCCGAAAACGGTCACATCAAAAATTGGAAATAGAAACCCAAGGAATAGCGGCGGGTTTTCATCACCTTTCTCTCATCTTCCATACACGAAATCGCGTTCTTGAAAACGTGTCCCGAAGATCCTCCACCATGTCCACACAAAGAGAGCATTAGTAGGATTACCTAAACCTGCCAATCTTAGAGCTAAGTACTTTCAATGAGTGCGCAGCTATAGGTCATCCGAATAAGTGTAGAAGAGTGACTGCGTCCTAAACAAAAAGTCCAACGGAGATAAGGTCTTCTACATCCTGCTTAATAATTTCAAAGAAGTGAGCACAGTTATAAAGCGCATCTTGAGAAGGACAGGTTTGCACAATTTGCTAGCAGTGAATGTGATACCTCAAGCACTTCAAAGCTTCAAGAAGTCGTAACGGATTGCATGACCGCATATGCAGAACGCAAAAATCGCATAATTTACCTCAACGGTAGAGAAGGGATGTGCGAGTTTGTGTACAACATAGATAATTGCGTGTAATGTATTCGCGAACGAGTTCATTGACGAAACGAGTACATCACGCCGCATCGCATCTTTGCCAACTAAAAGAACAAGAATCGTTGCCGATCACATTAAATCATAGCTCGTACAGAACCGAAAAAAGCCAAAGGTTATTCTTGTCAGATCCTCTTAGACAGAACTATATCTCATCTGAAGCACTGGATATACACCTTTTCGCAGCTGAACAAATATTTTTTTACTAAAAATAGGACAGTGTTGTGCAAGCATATAGTTATACTATACGAATGCCATTCACATCGCTTTCGGTGTCCTACACAGGCTCACTAGTTTATTATTCAAGAAATTCTATTTTAAATTGACAAAAACATCGAAAAAAATGACGAAACAAAAACCTAAGATGCCCATGCGAGTAATCAGTGCTTCGAAGAAGCCCTTGCATAATGGCGTAATGATGTTAACCAAATGTGTCTAAAGTGTGATCTGTGTGAAGTGAATACAATTTTATTACACAAACCGTCCTCCGAAATTATTGCGCGAATATTATCATTTCATGCATTCAATCCACTTCTATTCATCAGTGATCACAGAGATCTTTAGAACATGTCGCTCTTTCAATCAGTAGTTGATTGAGAACGGTCCACTTCTTTACGAATTCGATAAATGCTGGCCGAAATAAATGCATTCAAAATTTGAAAATTTGAGACGAAACATTGTCGGGAGACTGCAAAGAGAGAATTATTTTCGGACAACTCTAACTTCAATTTTGAAGGAATGAGCTCTGCGTCGCACACAAGGTTAATGGTCCAATCTCACACTCATGGCTCATTAATCCATCCATCCCTCCGCGATCGGTAAATTGGTACCCGACTGGTCACAGTCTTCTCTGGAAGGATAAGCAGCACTGACTCAGTTCAGCAGAAGGCCACTCGAGTTATTTATTGTAAGGGACACATATGCAATCAATCACTTCAAACGAGTAAAAAATTGAAGACGAATGCATGGCTCATCCTTCAGGGATTGATCAACGCCGAGAGTTTTATCCCTTGTTCTTCTTAGTAGTGCTGGGAGCGCCGTAACCGAGTGGTTGTGATGCTAGTCGTGGCGCAGAGGAACCGAGATAAACCCCCAGCTCTCTTTACTAGTCTACATCAGTGTCCTGTGGAACGGAATGGCGATTCTATTGTTGAGGCCGTTAGGAGGCTTGCTCAACTGGTATTCAACGACGTTTAAGAAGAAGACGATTGAACGAATTGAGTGTTAGAAGTACTGGGATCCGCACAGTGCTAAAAACGCTGTGAAGACAGATCAGTAAGGCGACGGTGGAGGTGCTATTGTAGAATTTTCATTTTACGAATGTTTTGTCACTATGTAAAATGAATTATCATCAGAGAAACTTATGTGAACGTGTTTTCTGCAGTTTTCCTAAAAAGTCTACTTTTTTCATTATATTCAAATAGTGCGGAAGGATTCGAATTGTGTGGAAGGTACCCGGGTTTCAAATCTTCTAAGAGAATGGTAAACGAAAATCCTTTCTTTTTTTGAGTTTTACCAGTCTTTTTTCTCAAGTATGTTCGAAACATCATAACAGTGAAAAAAGAGCAATAAAACCATTTGCAATCTTTAATTCATATAAGTACAATGATTGTCAGCTTAACAGGACATAAAGAGTGATATTGTTTGCCTGACCAATCCTGTTAGGGATTGGTGGCTGATAGCTGTGATAGGGAGATATTGAAGAATGAGTGATGGGTAGGTAGTGGCCTTCGTGGTGTTGTGGTAGCACGCGTCCTCGGTATGGATGAAACACGGGTTCAACTTCCAGCTGAGATTGAATTTTGCTCAACACTCAATTTTTTTAGGTATGTTCGGAACATCATAGTACTGTAAAAAAAAGAATCAAAAACATAAGCAATCCTGCATCGATATGAATACTTGGGTGTCTTTGACTGTTCTCCAAAAGAGAGCTTCTGCTCTAGACTTTTAGTAATCATTCAACAGCTTAACCACAACAATTCGCTTTCCTAGTGCGCCGTTTCGTATTTACACTGGATTTTTGCGGCATTTTACGTTATCTCAGCCCTATTTGAGGCCTTCAGCGAAAAACACTTCTACTTTTGTGAAACGTTTTAATCGTTATTTGATGGCTCAAATCAAGTGAATTTGAGCGATATATTTCACTTCTCAAACGACTTGTTTCAAAATTTTGATAATGCAGCATTGGGTTCGCGAGCCTAATGTATTTTCCTTAGTGGCCAGAGAACAAAATACGGGATTTAGGTAAGAACATTCGTGGGCTCGTTCGTTCTAGATGAAAACATTAATTCAAGTAGCAACCATACAGAAAGATTTGTGTATTCCTCGCACCTTTCACTGTCTTCTGCCATATAGCTCAAATCTGTGCAGTTCGTCTATACGTAAATGTCAGTCTAGAAAGTTCCTACCCATTTTGATACCCATTCGGCTTATGATAACCAGCTGTAATCTTTGCGGAACTAGTGTAGTAAAAAAATTACGAACTTGATGAATCCATGACAGGGACATCCTCCGTCGCTATAGATTTATGACATCTTGGCAAAATTTTTAATAAAAGCACGGAAGCTGCAATTATTAATCGTATATTGGGTTTATCAGTTCTAGAAAATCCTGTTTAATCAAACATAAGTGTTTGAATTTTGTTAGACAAAAAAGGAATTCGTTCTACCAACTTCCAAAAGGAAAAGAGAGAATTCTGTTTTGAGAGCTTTTAGAATGTCAGAATTTTTTCGCTAGAGAAGAAGATAATTCGCCTTTGCTGAGAAAAGCTGGCACAATATAAAAACATAGTAGGCAAAAGTGAATTTTTTGTTCGGTAATATAAAAGAAATTATGAACTAAGCGCTTAAAATTGGAAATATGCTTTGTTTAAATGTCCTTTATGTTAAATCAATCAACACGATTCGTTGTGTGTTATACCAACAATATAACCAAAAAGAAGCGCGTTAACAGCCTTAATCTCTTCTTTTCCTTGAGAAATGCGAAGAGTCGATTCAACTGTTCAGTAGAAAGTTACTATGAGTTTCGAATTACTAGTCCATTTCTAGCACGGGGGCCGCAGTCGCAGTGATGCATACTTGCATCTCCTGAGCTTCAACCACTATCAGCACTTGCCTATTGCTTGGCGTCTAGACGGATCACATGTTCCCGTGTAGCATAAAAATAACTGCATTTACTAATGATAAATATTCTACCTTCCATCTATATTAATCGTTATTCTCCTACCGTCACTCTTCTAAAAATGCGTTGGATAATCTTCCAATCTATACTTAGAAATGACCTCAAGAGAATTGAGTGGTGAGCAAAAATAACATGAAATAAGTGGTGGCACGAATGCACCTCGATGATGTAATGGTAGCACGCGTCCCCGATATCGATGAAACGCTGGTTCGACTCCCGCCTGAGGTCATATCTTTGCTCATTACTCCATTCCCTTAGGTGAATATGAAACATCATAACAATGCGAAAATGCAATAAAATATTGAAATTCTGAGTATTACTAAGAAGACGTCAACGCAAAGGGATCGTACACAGCATTTTCTGAGAGAACATTAGTAACCACGCGAAGATTAGTCACCAACTGCCACTTCCATTCACTAGAGATTTTTCGCACTGCTTGTGACTGTATCGGCCAGCTTGGCAAATTAAATAAACTAAAAAACAGAATATGTAATCGACAAGAATTTTTTATTTAACCGCTTTTAGCAATGATATGATGTGCTCACACAGACAGTGAGACGCTCGATCAACTTCCTCCCGAGGTCCAGAGTTATACACTTCATTACAAATCATTGAGTACATAAGAAGTAGATTTTTTGTCCTGGTCGCCAAGTTGGGCTCCCTTCTCCTCTTTTCTGGGACGCGATCCAAAAAGGGAAGCTTTGATGATAGCGAGAATATGACAGTGGCAGGCTGAATATCTATCTCAACATAATTTCAGAATGACATGGTATTGTGACAGCGTCGTTTTGTAGCAAGCCTGTTAATAGTTTGGTGATGTATGTAGGAATACCAGTTATCTTCCACCTAGGATTTCTAGCTGAAATTTTGATGTCTTTAAAAAAATGTAATTCCTCACTCTAGAGCACGCAAGCTACAAATCAACACCATTAAATGCTACGTTTCAATAAAAGTGCTAGTTTTTTTTTATTCTTTCATCAGTGCCCTCGTTTTCTTCTGTCTGTTTTCATGATCCTATCGGCATTGTTTATCAAAGAACACGTATAGATACAGCGTAATACATGCAGTTATCGAGACAATAATACAATGATCATCCTTCTTTTTGCTTGACTACATTGATACCTTGAGCAATTACACTGGAATTTGGTTACTTACAATTGGCGTTTGATCTTAGAGATATATGGATTCGCACAAAATACTCCCATACCAAAACACGTAGTCAAATGCCCGATCACAACAAAATCGCATACATTTGTTCAAAATTCGATTTGTGTTGGATATGGAAGAGTCTCATACAAATCCATCGCCATTTTTTTCATTTGACGGTGTGGTTACCCATGTTGTTTGGTATGCTGGCACTATCGGTAGTTGGTTTTCTTGGAAACGACATGGTGATTCTAGCCACGATTATTTCGCCACTTTTTTGAAATCGTTGCGGTATACTTATCTGCGTCCTGGCCATAGCCGATTTCGTAGTCTATATCTTCTTGGTGAGTTTTGAAAAAATGCAAGTTTTTTGGTACTTACATATTAGACGGCGGCAAATCTATGAACCGATTCCAATCTCAGTACAGGAACTTTTCATAAGAGTGTTAGCAATTATTCGAAAGCTCGAGTCACTGGCTACAACTTCACGCCACTGTTTTTTTCAAAACACCACTTTATAACGCCGTAGTGCCAAGAAATATATTCTACTTCACATTCTCCTTTCGCCCTCATTGTCAATTACGTGTATAATTCGCTGGAAACATCAAACGCATATCAGCGTGTAGAGAATTTTCCGTAGTACGAAAGTCTACGTCTTTATCTGAAGTTTCTATCAATGCAGTGAAAAATTCCAATTGAGTAGCAATATTTCAAACGCGGATCAATCGCCCTGTCCCTCCTCGTCCATGCCCCGTCCCGTGAGTTGGCCGGAAAACAAGGTCGTCGAAAATGTAAAACTCGATGTTAAAAACAAATTAAGCGGTATTCCCAAAAAGCAAGCACACACTGGAATAATTGGAGTTCACGACATCGAATGATTGATATTAGTCTAAAGAAAGACCTCTGTGGGGTGAGGCTCAAAGCACAAATATTTTCTTTCTGCTGTGGTTTAATCAGAAGAGCCTTCTCAAAAATCAGACACATTTTTGTGCCTTTTAGACCTTCACTAGATGACACGGTGAGTGGTTTTTTCTGTACCGATGTCGCTCATTAATATTTCAGATTATCAGTTTTCCACAAACTCTACATATTTATATAAAAACCTTACAATGAATTATATGTTCAAGCTCTGAAGAAGGCCTTATTGCCGAAACGTTAGCCACAAACGATTAACAAAATCCATCGATCGCCAGGAAGAACAGTTGATCGGAAGAAGATACCAACCTCGTGAAGCCTAACATAAAGACTGGTTCTTAAGCTGTTCTTTTCTTTTTGACAGTTTTGGATTATTATCATGCCGAGGTTCAAGGAAAGTGGTCTTTCGAGTTATGACGAAGTATTTGAAGAATATTAAAGATTGCTGAAGAGCACCTAAAGGCTATAGGAGAGAAGAGTTTGATACTGACAAAGGCCTAAGACAAGGAACATGTATAAATGAAGAGAAGGAACAAAATGGAAACAGGAAAATAAACGTTCTGATTTTGTAAGTGGATGAAGATTGGATGTTGTTGCGTTTGTCTTGAAGTGGGTGGAGTGATGGCTAGGTTGCTTCTCTTTTGCTTTTGCATGTCCTCAGGTACGCTTCTGATTGTTTGCTCCTCACGTTAGTCAACGTTATTTGCGCTAAACATACGTTAATTATTAAATTGTTGAACTTAGGAAACCAAAAGTGATGTTGAATAGAGATTATTCGTTAGAATATCTTTATACAGAATACCCTACTCCTGACCGTTTATACAGGTCGCGCTCAAAACATTAATAATCTGGCAACATGATAAAATGTTCTGAGCATGGTGTATTAGGCCTGATTCGGGCACTTATACAGTGCTAAACAAGCGAATGTTTCGTTCTTGCCGACTCCTCCGTAGCACCAGTCTCACTCGGTTCATCCAATCCCTCGGATACAACTACATAAAGGAATCGTCACTGAATAATGGAAAACCGCAAGTCAGGTGACAAATCCCCGACATTACAGTGATCACGGTCGAGTGTTTGCTGCTGGTATAGTGAACCATACCCTACTCCCGACGTTAATAAAGATATCGCTTGAAACAATAATAATTTGATAACACGATAACATGCTTTGGAGCCTGTTATTATGAGATCTGATATGGGCACTCATACAGTGCTAGCGCTTGCTTCCTTATTGAGTGCCATGAGATCGACTGAACCAAGGGAGGCTGTGCTACTGAGAAGTTCGAAAGGACGATACGGACCCTAGCAGACTGTCTAGCACTGTATAAGTGCCCATATAGGACTCCAAATCACAGGCTCAAAACATGTTATCATGTTTTCCCTACAACAGTTTATCTTTTAATGTTTTATAGTTTTACAGCGATAAAGTGTTTGTAACGCACAAACCAACACATTAGTACTAGTAGACTCAGTGCGAAGTTGTAGCAACGTTTAATACAAGCGGGTGTGAAATATAATGCTCTTTTTGCTCTTACAGCGCTCTATAACTTTCAAGCTCTCAAATCTCTCAAAAATTTTATTACAGCATCAAAATTATCGAGATTCGGATTATTGAATGACAAATAAGACTTTACCAGAGAGCTATCTGCAGGTCTCAGCAAAGCAAACAAAACAGTTTGAGTGTGTGACATAACTTTATTTCGTTGTTACAACGTAATGGAAAGATTTTTCTGAAAAAGCACACTGTCAAAGTAGCAGAGATTCAAGTTTTTGCACACCACTCAGCATTAATGGGTTTATTGTAACATCATAACACCGCAATACGCGGTCAAATAAAATGAATTCTTAATATATTGAGCTGAATGTTCACAACATCTGCATTATTTCAAATATAGCTTGGAAAAGAAATAAAATTTTTTTCAAAGGAGAAATTAATAAGTTATGTTTTCAAAGCTATAGTTTTTCTTTGAAAAAAAAAGGATTTCCGAGGCAACTAAGTGTTTTTACTAGAAATAATACCATAGAAATCCCTTGATATTATTCCACGCAGCTTTTCATAGTTATGTGTTTTCCACAAAATCAAAATGTTGATGATTACGCCAATAGAACCGCTGTGAAATTGAAAGGATGTATTGACTGGTGCGAGAGCAAAATGTTTTTTCAAGTAGCACAAGCAGGCTATGTCGTTTGCAAAAGTCATACTTGATACTAAAATTTCCATTTCTGAAGTTATTCAGCGGCAATGGATAATCTATATAAAAGGCTTTTTTTGTGGACGAAACCAAGTTTTTGCGATCACATTTCACAGAATGTCACTGCACGCGACAGAAATCGTATTCACAAGCATGGCACTCAAACATTTTGGCACTGCTAAATGAAAATGATGCTATCTAACACCTAAAAATCCATTGTAAAGCTCAAAGAATGATTTCTGATTGCAATAAAGTTATCTTCTTCATTAGTAGACCATATTATGTAAGCCTCTTCACGAAGAAGACGAAAATCACATTTAAAATTTTTAGGCCCTCAATACATTATATATATATAGACAAAATGAGATAGGTTCTTCAATAACAACTGGGAACATGTTTCGTTCTGCAAGGACATGCTGTCTCTTTCTGATTAATTTCAGGGTTTTGGGAAGCGCTGGAGTCTATTTCACTCAAATAATTCAAATAGATGTCTCCTCAGTGATATTCTATTATTTATCAGAGACGATGTTGAAATCTTTATCCTTTGACGATCAATTAAATTGGCGCGACGAGCGCGGCGAGCTGCATTGAGAATGCGGCAGTTTTTTTTATGAAAATTTGACCTATAACGTCATTGAAAAAAATTTTTACGCGAGGAAATCATGAAGGGTAATGGAAGAGAGTTTGATAAATCTGTTTGTTGAAGGAACATTCGTGATGCTCCTACCTAGAACCCGACGTTCCTTAGGGAATAGACAGATGTGCCTCAAATGTGATATTACAAAGTATTATTAAATAACTCCATGATGTCCTATGCACAGTCATTCTTATCGCAATCAAGTATTTATTTTTCACGTCGACGTATTTCACGTGTTCGTATTCATTGCTGCAAATGAACACTATCAAATTCAGTTATGTTATCAATGTGCTCTTTAGAAACCAAAGGTTACGAAGGAAATCACCTAATTTCTAAAC